AAACTGACCTCATCGTAAGTTTCCTGTAACCGAATAGCTTAAAGGGGGAATGCATGAATTTGCTTACAGTTTCCTCTGATGTACTCCCATATTTTTCTATTTTTCCTTTAAACACTACATTAAATATGCAACAGAATATAGACTATAAAAATCTATATATTGAGGTTCTAATATATTTTGTTTCTAATATTATATATTGAAAAAACTATATTTTGGGAACATATAAATAATATATATTTTATATAGGATCCATATACACATAGAATGCATATCCATACACTACATATGAATGAATACCTAGAGAAAGAGAACATAGAGAGCAAAGGAGAGAGGGAGGTGGGAGATCTTAAATTATATTAACAGAGTATCTTAAAACACTAAACATTTAACATTTCTGCTCTAGAATTCAATGCAACAAAAGTAAACTTAGGGCATATTATCCTAAAGAATGTTCAAAAAATGTCGAAGGCACTGAGTCACTTATTTTCACAGTTGAAGTAAAACAAATCCACCTGGTCATGGCTGTACCTTGGACCCAGATACCATGAACTCATACAGTTCCAGAGAACTGGGTCCAAATGAGTCACAGGATGCTGCTGGTGGCTGCGAAACAGGGGTGAATGTCAGAGCCTCTCCTTGGCCATGCACCAGTGTTGCAGCAATGTAGTGATAACTGGACGTTGCACGTTGTGCATTTTTGTTGCTGGAACCAACTTGTTCCAAAACCTAAAGGGGATATTCTTGTCTCACGGCATATCAGAGTCCCATTTATGGAACCTCAGTGTGCTGGATACACCGATGGTGGGAATGTAAACTGGGGCAGCCACTGTGAAAAACAGTATAGTGATTCCTCAAAAATTAAGAATAGCCCTGGCCAGGTGGCTCAGTTGTCTTGTGCACTAAAAGGTGGCTGGTTCGATGCCCAGTCAGAGCACATGCCCAGGTTGCAGGCTCAGTCCCTGGTACAGGGTGTGCAGGGGGCAACTAGTTGATGTTCTGCTCTCACATCAGTGCTTCTCTTCCTCTCCTTTCCTCTCTAAAAATCAATCAAAATATTTTTTTTAATTAAGAATAGAGTTAGCATATGACCCAGCAATCCCTCTTCTGGGTATCTACCTGAAAAATTTAAAAACATTTATTTACAAAGATATATGTACTCCTATGTTCATCGCAGCATTATTCACAGTGCCTAAAACATGGAAACAACAAAGTGTTCTTTGATAGATGACTAGATAAAGATGTGGTACATCTATACAATGAAATGCTACTCAGCCATAAGTTGAAATACTGACACTTGCAACAACACAGATGGACCTTGTGAGTATTATGCAAAGTAAAATCAGTCAATGAGGAAAAGCTAAGAACCATATGATTTCACTCATGTTATATATAAACTGAAACTCATAGACATCGACAACAGTATGGTGGTTACCAGAGGGCAAGGGAGTGGGGGGGTGTTTAAGAGGCCAAACATATGGTGATAGAAGATGATTTGACTTCGGGTGGTGGGCGCACAATGGAATATACATATCATGTATTATGGAAATGTATACTTGAAACCTATATACTTATTAACTAATGTCACCCCAACAAATTTAATTAAAAAATAAAGTCAGAGAGGAAGGGCAATGTTCGTGAGATGTTCTGTAACACTGCTGACAAATCTAATTAAATCTTTTTATTGCAATGATTTTTATTTTTGGCTCTATTCTATCAGAAAGTAAGTCCACTATTAAAGAACTTCAAATATATTTCCAGTGAATAACTTTTACTAAATGCCTACGATGAAAATATTTGTTAAAAAGATAGAATAAGCCCTGGCCGGTTTGGCTCTGGTTAGAGCATCAGCTCATGGACCAGAGAGTCCCGGGTTCAGTTCCTGCTAAGGGCACGTACCTCAGTTGCAGTTTGTCCCCAGCCCTGGTTGGTCGTGCGGATAGCAGCCACTCCATGTGTCTCTCTCATATTGATGTTTCTCTCTCTCTCTTCCTCCCTTTCTCCCTCCGGCTCTATCTGAAGATAAATGCAAAAATGTCCTCGGGTGAAGATTAAAAAAAAAAGAAAAAGACAAAATAACATTTTTTGAAATGGCAAACATTCTTGTCTTGTTAGCTATTCAGCTGCTAAATGCTGACAACCAATGCGTCCCTGTCATCGGTCAATGGCCATTCCTCACAGTTCACCATCCTTTACCTCTTTGCAGATTTTTGACAGAGATGATTCTGCCTGTTTCTCAAAGGTTTTTATTGCCCTGTAATGAAACAATCTCTTTGTTCTCCTCCCCCTTTTTCTACCTTCTGTCCTCTGACCCGTAATACATGTATGCCATATTTTTTTAAACTTTGACTTGAACTTACAAAACAATTTATCCATGCTCCCTGTGTTGGCACTCATCAATTTCTCCCTTCATAACTCATTCTTTGTACATTCCCTATCAATACAATAAAAATTTTGATTATATTGAAATAGATTATTTTTATAATATTTATAACCCCCCCCCCAAAAAAAAACTGCCCGGGGCAGCTAATAGCATATCAATACATATTTATTTTTTCATAAATAAATAGATTTATAAAGAAACTCTACTGAGTGAGTAGGGAGAGAACTTCCATTTCATAAGGCAATTATAACACCGATTCCTTGTGCTCCCCAAGAGCAGGCCAATCCTCTCCCTCACTCAGATGACTTCAAACAGGCACAGAATAGCTGCGTTTTAGGGTACACTAGAGGAGCATAATGTTGAACTCCTCACTGCTCAAGACATTTTTTAAAAATCCATCTAAGAGAAGAGCTTTCATGAAGAATGGATACACACCCAACCATTTTCTAATTCTTTAAAATATCCCAGTAGCTAATATGGACAGCATCACATCAGATCATTTAAAAATCGGACTTGTTTAAATGTGTGTGATATCATGCCAGCTACCTGCAGTGGAGAAGATCTGAAGATCCCGTGCTGTATGACATATAGCCATGCCTAATAAATGGACATGCTAAGTATGGTGCTCATGATTTTATGCAATATCCATGGTGATCAACAGAAGAAACTTATGTACAGTCTCAAACCAGGGAAGGACCTGTGCTTTTCCTGAGCAAAACAAAGATCAAGTGTGCGGCACCTTGAGCAAAGCATATAAGCTCTGAAGTAGTTGCTTCTCTATCTGGTTCTGTCGTAAGCTATATTTTTCTCTTTATTTCAAACTTTTTCACTTCTTTCTCTATGTTTTTCACTCTGCTCTAATATATGTATCTTTATAAGACACTTTGGATTATTTTTGAACGTCAGGTTATGAATAAGTAAATACAGTAAAAAATAGACAAGCCAATGAGACCAAAATTGAATTTATTATGTTGGGAAAACTTAAAATCCTTAGGAACTTTCTAAAAGCATGTTAAGAAGGCTGACATTTATAAAAAAAAAACTCTGTGCACCCTCCTGGAGTTTTTTTAAACCAGCCATATCAAGGAATGAATGCATCTCTCATCCCAAATTATCTCCTTGTCTTAAAATACGCACTGTGTGTCTCTTTTCACATTTATATTTTAAGAAATAAAATCCATGACTAACTTCTTGAAAACAAATTTTTTAAAATAATTTAAAACTGACTCGGATATATTTTGAATCTATTCTTCAAGGTCCACACTGCAGAGATGTTTCCTTTCATAAAAGAGCTGGTTTAATACTCCCAGTGGTCAGAGTTCTGTGTCTGTGAATCTGCTCTCTTTCAGAAACTCCAGCTGCAGTGCTACGTCTAGGTTCTGGGTCTGGTGGTAACTCCACCGTCTGAACTGGAACAACAGCTCATTAAGAACATCAAATATCCAAGGATATTTGGCAAAGCTATTTTAACTCACAGTATGAGACTTGATCAAAATTTGCCCATGAATGAGAGAAAAGTAAAAGTTTTAAACAGTGAATCAATTGCTTAGTATTACTGAGTTTTTCCTATCTGTAAAAAGAAATTGCCATCACTTTTCTTAGTCAGTACCCTTAAGATTTTTTCAGTAAAAAGAAAGTAGCTTCCAGGAGACAACTTGAGTGACCGGAGAATCTATTTTAAGAACACGTGTCTATATTAAGAAAGGAAAAGGACAGTTAATCCTCCTCTTCTGAAGGCAGGAAACCACAGAAGGAGAGGCAGAGACAGCATGTCAGGAGAGTCGGTCACAGCCATGCTATCCCTCTAATTAGCTGGAGAAGACATTGAAATAAAAATGAGTAAGTCCTCATTCAATCTACTGCCCTTTAGGTGCCAGCAAATTGATAGAAACCTTGTATATATCATCTCGTCTAATTATACAATCACCCTAAAAGATGAGTGTGCATCATGTCATTTAGTCCTCATTACCACCCTAACAATTAGGCATTATTATTATACTCATAATCATGATACAATATATGTCCATGTTCAGACAACTGAGGCTCAAAGTGAGTTAATATCTAGCTGTAGTTTACTACACAGACTCGTATTAACTGCCTTTCTTTGCATTTTCTATCCTGCTTCACCACCTCACTGTCTACTAAAACCAAGTTAGTAACCTTTTAGCTTCTTTTAATCTTTTTCCAACATTTTTCATATCCCCAAATCTCACCTTACCATACTCATGTACTACCCCAAGTTATTTTCTGGAAAATTGCATAACACCTGACTCATTACCAACAGAGTTTTCTTTCACTGAGTTCTGATCTTGTTCATTCTCTCTTTGAAATTCTTGAATAGCTTTCCATTGTTAATAAGATAATGATAAAAAAATTTTCCTAGCTCTATGTCTGGTCATTTGAAATCGCCCCTTCTAACCACTGTTCTACATCATCTAGAGTGGGTTCCTCTATAGACCCATAAATTGCAATATGAATTTTGTCCACTTCTGTGTTGTATTAATTTTCTGTCTCTGCATTAAAAATCACCAGAAATGTATTGGCTTAAAACAATATCCATTGAACAGCTGATCATTCTGTGGTCAGAGTCCAGGCAGGCTCAGCCAGGTACTTTACTTACTTAGAACCTCAAGGGCTGTGTTTCTGTCTGGAAATTCTGGGCAGGAATCCGCTGTCAGCCTTACTGAGGTCGTTGGCAGAACTCAGTTCCTTGTGGTTGTGAGGCTGAGGTCCCGAGCCACCTCCAACTTCTCTCTGACTTCCTCTTCTGCTATATCTCTCTGACTTCAAATAGAAGAAAGCTCTCTGCTTTTAAAGCCTCAGATCATTAGGTAATCCAGGTTAATCCAGTATAGTCACCCCTACTTTAAGTCCATAACCTTAGTTAGATCTGCAAAGATCCCTTTGCAATGTAATATGACATATTCACAGGTTTCAGGGACGTGGGCATTGGGGGAGATATTCTTCCAACAACTCACACAGTTAGATCAATGTGCCCTCTTTCTTGAACTACAGAAATTCTTTCCCAAACTCATCAAAATGTGAAAACTTTACAAACTTCTCAGGCAATTGCTTCTCCTTTCATTCCCAATAAATTCCTGTTGAACATGGGAAATAGTGCATTTAACATTTCTAGGCCTTTATTTTCTTAAATTAAGAAAAATGAATATGTATAGTTAGGACCACATTTATCACTTTATATCTACAATTATACCAGAAAAATAATCTGTCTGTATAATATTAATTAATATATTCTCTCTCAAAATTCCCTGGTTGCCTGTTAATTTATTTCTGCAGTACATACATTATCTATTTGGATTTTTGTGGTGAGTCTATGAGATAAGTATCATTATCCTCATTTTATAGTTGAGTACATTGGGTGCTCAGAGAGGTTAAGTGACTTGCTAAAGCCAAATAGAAAGTGAGAAGTGAATTTCAAATATGAAGATCATCTGAGTTTACAGCTTATTCCATGCACTGTCTTCACATATTTTCTTGCAGAGTATAAACCCTATCTGTAATCTCTGAGTAAATAGTAATGATTTATTTATCTGGACACAATATAACAATATTTAAAAACAAAAGAAGACATCATCAAACTCCTTATATTGAATAAATAAACCAAAGGAGCAAAAATCAATACCACTTTTATACTTTTTGAGAATTCATTTAAGAAAATTTAAAATTTAGGTTTAAAATGGAAGATAGAGCACATATATATTCACCTCTTGTTCACACCAAGATTCAAATGAAATACGAGTTTGGAGCTCTCAAGGGGGATAAATTTACAATGGTAACGATAATTGGAATCAGCAATAGATGAGACAGTTCAAAAACATTCCGGACTACTGAGAGAGAATAGACTGGAAGAATGTTGACTGGTAGAACAATGCAACATGAGGAAACTACAAAAGAAGTCTGAGACATGTTATCTGGGATCAAGAGTCTCTGGACCCAACATGAGGCGCATGATGGGGAGTAGGATTAAGAAATAGGCTAGAGAGTTACTTAATTGAAAATGAGTATGTAGAACAATATAACTCTTCTCCAATTGCACAGAGCATGGCAGCATATTTATGACTCCCAAGTAAAAAAAAAAAGAAAAGAAATAGAAGTCTCTTCATGGTACCATGTGAGTCAAGATAAATCATCTGGTGTAGTTATTGGTGACCCCGAATGTATTCTTTAAATGTGGCCAGACTCTTGCTCTTCCTTTTATACTCCTATTGATAGAATCAAACCTAGTATCCAATGGAGAAATGTGGTCTGCAAATTCTTAACCTTTATATCACAAAACAGAGTATGAAAAAGTAGGGTCAAAGCTGAGAGAAAGTAGTTTAATAACCAGCACATCTCCATGGAGATGCATTTCCTCCTTCACTTCCGTGTAGGGTAGGGCTCTACTGTAATTAAAGCATTCAGATACGTGGCATTATTACCTAACAACTTCAAATTCCATCTGAGTTCTATCTGAGAACTGCCTGGCTCTCTTTCATCCAGGCTGGATCTCCTTTGTACAACTCCCAAAGCCCAACATACCTGTGCTTCTTGGGTTACTGCTTTTGGCCTAATGACTGCACAATTTCAGGGCAAGCCCTTCAACCCTTGTCCTTCTTCTACCCAGGCTGCCTCATCAGAGTTCCTTGCTTTATCTACTGCCTGGAAATTAACTTACTGCATACCACATAGCACACAACTCTTTTTTGACCATAGGGCATATAAAAAGCTACAGTTAAAATTTTGAAAAGCTGCATTGTTTAACAAGAAGAAACAGCTTTCATCATATTCAGGCAGATCCATCATCACTCAATCAAAATACTTGCCTTCCCAACTGCAAAGGGTGATCATTTTCTCAATTTTCTGAAAAGCAATTTTTTCCTTCACAAAATTATTCCCTTTTCAGATTTTTCTCTTTCCCCTCTACTCATATTCAAGGACATCTAATTATAAAACTAGGAAACCACGTTGAATAGAATAATGTAAAGAAGAGAAAGCTAAGGAATACTGACAGATAATGGAAATTATTCATTTGTTAGAGGAGATCATTGAACAGTTTTACTTCTATTGGCTACAGAAAACCAAGGACTCACTCTATTATCACAAGCCTATTGTGAACATTGGTTATTTCTTCTTGGAGCCCATCCATCATTCTAACTGTCGTAGGGCATGTACTATGGTCTATTCATTTCATTTTTAATATGTTTTCCATTTTAAAATTAGAAAATAGACCAAATAAAGCTGTGGCACAATGTTCTACACAAAGTACTGTCTTCTTAATTACATTAAGGGATTTCTTCCCACTCACATTAAAAACTGATTCACTCAGCATCTTTTCCGTGGGATATTTTTTCCCCCAGCACCACTTTTTAATTCAGTTTACATCAGTGATTATATCTATACAGATAACTCTAATAAAATATTCCTTGGAAGCTAAAATGCCTTGAGTTGTCAAGTAAAGAGAAATAATTTATTATAGTTATATGTTATCTTATTATGTCCTAATCATGTAAAAGATAATGTTTATGACCCTATGGTTGACTCTATTTGACAAGCACTAAAGAACCAGAGAGTTTTTAAATGTTTGAGCTACATAAAATCTCTCCAAGAAACTATCATCTACTCTATTCCCTTACTGAAAAGATGGAATAATTTAGCTCTCCGAATTGGGAAACTTGTCCAAACTCAGGTAGTAATCATGATGAGATAAAACCTCCCCTTTCCATAACATCTAGTGTACTTTCCAATATGCTACACGAAGTCTCACTTTTTTTTTTTCCTTCGGTCACATTAGGCAGCATTGTAGACTAGTCCATACTACTCTAGGATAATGTTCCTTCACTCTCAAATTATCACCCTAATGTGTATTTGGCATTACAGACAATATCTGAATACCTAAATCAAGTAAGGGGTGAAAGAGAATGAATCATTGTAAGACATATATATATAGTATTTTTGTTACAGATGTTTCTCCATTTTTTCCCCATTGACACCCTCCTTCCCATCCCCCCCACTCCATCTCCAGTTTTGTTGTCCGTGTCCATTGGTTATGTGTACATGCATTTAAGTTCTATGTTTATCTCTCCCTTCCTCCCACTACCCCCTCTTCTAAGGGTTGTCAGTCTGCACCCTACTTCCACGTCTCTGGGTCTACCCTATTCCTCAGACTGTTATGTTCATTATATTCCACAAATAAGTGAAGTCATGTGGTATTTGTCTTTCTCTGCTTGACTTTTTTCGCTTAGGATAATACTCTTCAGGTCCCTCCATGTCGTCTCAAAGGGTAAGAGATCTCTCTTTCTTACAGCTGCATAGTACTCCATTGTGTATATGTACCACAGCTTTTTAATCCATTTGTCTACCGATGGACACTCGGGCCGTTTCCAGATCTTAGCTATTGTAAATAGTGCTGCTATGACATATATTTTGATATTCTGCCTTTGGAAATTGGTCAAACATTTTCTCAAATACAACTTGGTTCAGAGTTTCTAATATATTTCAGCCAAACTAGACCATGGCCAAAAGAAACGATAAAAAGAAATGCAAACATTTACTGAGTGTACTTGGCATACTATAGGCTTTACATATGTTGTTATTCTTAATTTTTAAATAACCCTATGAGGTAATTATCATTATGTCACTTTGCTAATAAGTAAACTAACACTCAAATACGTTTCTCTACATATGTAAGATCAAACAGTTCATCTGTTCCAGCACTGAAATATGAACCAATGACCTTGTTTCAAAAACACATTGTATATTATATTAAACCGGACCTTCTCTCATTCATTACAAAATACCCAACGGTAAGTATGGAAAAGTGAGGAACAAAGGACAAAATGATCTAGATGGTTTAAAAATGGAAAGACATGTCCCTGGGTACTGAAAGTTGCATTGAAGACTCTTTAGAACTGACTGCAAATGCCAATTTGGTAACACAATGCAGTGGAAAGATATTCAACATATGTTCTCTACTCTTTATCTAGTTTAAAGCCTATCATGTGCCATAAATGAGGCTAATTGGCTTAGTAAAGAATGATGACTAAAACTAAAAAATTGTCCTCAACAAGGGATGTATCAGTGGGCATGGCATGTTTGAAAAACTACTAGAAGGTCAAGATACCATCAGGGTAATATATACAAGAGATAAGAAAAGGGTCTGGATACAACAATATCATGAAAATCATGTTAAGGAATTTGGCCTTTATATTTGAGGAGTAAAGTCACAAAAAGATTATTTTTATTGCAATGTATGAGATTAATTGGATGGAACAGTTTAGATGAAGGGAGACAATTAAAAAGTTATTAATTTAATTCATGTCATAGAGAAGTAAATGGGAGTACATTAAGGTTGGATGAGTTAAGACTGAAGAGATACATTTGAGAAATACATGCAGAGAGTTGACAGTCCATTGACTATAACAGAAAAACGATGATTCAGAGGTGAAGCTCAGGTTCTTGGATTGAAAGTGTGAATGCATTAGGATAATAACTTCTATAAACCATTATGGTAGGTAGAAAATGTTGAGGATAGGAGTAGATAGCGAGTTGGTATCAGATATTTGAGTGCCTCTGAGACATCCTGAAGGAGATATTCACAAAGGACTTGTATAGAAGTTTCTGTGACATAGAGAAGAGATTACTACTAAAGCTACAGTTGTTTTTCAATTGTGGGAATTAAGTTGGTAATTAAAATAATTGATTATGCACATCGTATGCATAATGCTTGAG